TCCTTTGTACAATGAGGACATTGTAGTAGTTCATCACTTTCCTAGAACTCCTTCCACTTGTAAGTCACACTGACCCTCTGCCCAACAGTGGACCTGGAATACTCCTTGGCAGTCACACATCTTAGGTAAGAGCATGCATGGGCTTTGCAGAGCAAAAGTCCTGGTTCCACTCTGCAACTTCCTAGTATGTGGCTTGGGGCAAGTGTTCACCTTCATAAAGCTCAGTTTCCCTATCTGTAAAGTGAGAATTACACAAGCCCTTACAGAGTTGTTGTATTAAAGGAGACTAAATCCAGCTCTAAATACAGTGTCTGGCACACAACAAGTACTCGATCAAAATCATCTATTTTTAACATTGTTATTTCCTTGGGTCCACTGACATAGTTGCTCTTCTAACAGCATTTCTCCAAATTGAATATCAGCACTATTATAACTACAGTATTTAAAGGTTTGAAGGTGCCAACTTGGGCTGACTTGTTTAGAAAAAAGTTGGAAAGACATGGGCTCAGAGGATTTTTAAAAAATAAACAAAACAACCTGTGTGCTGACCTTTACCCTGTAGTTCTTTTATTTAATAACAGTCTATTAATAAACATAACTTTAAGCTGTTTGATTTGTACTAATGTAATCTAGGCCAAACATGCTACCTGAAAGTAATAATAAACTTTCTCCAAAGAAATTATAATGGAAGTTTGCTTCACTTTTCTGCCTGCTTTGAAACAAGATTGTGGGGAAGTTCTTAGCATTGAGTTCCCATCAACAGATATTTAATCACTTTAACTTTTGATCATATGTAGGTTATATTTAATTACAACTAAATGTGATAAAAATCATTCTTAGATGGGTGAGATAAGCTTTGAAGCTGTATAACTACTGCATTTTATATTTTAGAAACAATTGCTTAACCAGAAAAGAAAAATTCCCCCAAATGTGGGAAACCAGAGTTCTTTGCTATGCTCTTAACTACAGCAGGAAATATGTGTTTGTTTATTATGACCCTAGTGCTTCCACAGCCAAATTAACTTTCAAACACTGCATTTTCATTCTGCATAACCAACAATTGTCACCCTGCCTTGTGGAAACTGATAATTCTAAGGGAGTTCAAGAATACTTGCATAATTACACCTAGTAAGGCCAAGTGTGTCCCCACAGCGTGGAGATGGACCCTTTGTGAACGGGAACACTTATAACTAAAGGGCCCCCTACAGGATGGGTTAATTAGCCCACAGTAACTGGCTGAGTTAAAGGTGACTTTCAGGGACTATCAGATTTTATAGCAAAATAGATCTGAATTACCATTATATGTTTAAGAATGTCTCCTTCTTGATTCCAGGTTTCTCCTCACTCATGGGATGTGAACCTCAACAAATTTATACCAGGTTGTAGAAGAGTGATCACTTCTATTGTTGCTAAAAAAGTTCTCTGCAGGATAAAGGGTGAGTAATATGTTCTGTAGATACCTGCATGTTAAATATCCAAAATTTATCAAGATACTGTATAGACTTTGATTATAGCAATTCAATTTTTAAAGTTTCTTAGGAAGTAGCTTATTTTCTGTCTCTATAGCTGTTTCTTTTAATATTTTGATCAACTCTCATGAACTTCCCTTACTTTAAAAGCAATTTTTATAGGACTGCATACTGAATTTTTAACAACTTTCTAAATGCCTGTAGCCCAACCGGTGTTACTCAATGGTTAAGTTCAATTCCCAGTAAGAACACATGCCTGGTTGAGGGCTCAATCCCCATTAGGGCGTGTGCAGGAGAGGCAGCTGATCAATGATTCTCTCTCATCATTGCTATTCCTATTTCTTTTCCCCTCTCCTTCTCCTTTCCTCTCTGAAATAAATACAAATATATTTAAAAAATAAAGATAAAAATTGCCTATAAGCATTACTAATTGGCCAAATTGATTTAATCAGAAGAAAGAGATTATTGAGTGGATACATCTTATAGCTTCTGAATTAAAGAATGAAAAAAAGGGGGATTTAAAGCTGTGGCTGCACTATAGTAGATCTGGTTTTGCTCACCATCACAGTGCTGGTTGAAATGGAGTGTCCCTGCTTCCTACTTGTTCAATCTTGCACTTTTTGTTTAGTGATGGTAAAAGAAACTGGTGGAGGTACATGTAAATAGCCAAAAAGGTTTAGCAGAATCCTATCTGAGTCTGGCAGAAACCCTGCCCTCTCCCCATTCTGTCCACCTTCAAACTTGCCAAGCCTTGTTCGCTTTGGCTTAATTTAAAAAATGCACTTCTGGCGAGTGAGGAAAGGTTTTGTACTGTGTTTTCAATGACTCACCCAAAATAACTCCATTCAACTTGTAAAGGGTCCTGTTCTGAAAGCAGATTGTGTTTGTTCTGAGATGGGCATGAAGGGGCTGCAGGAGGCAGATTAGAGAAGGGAAATGTGATGGGAGAGGCGGTGTAGCTCAGGCACACATCAGAATTATTTTTAAAAAAGACATTGTGTGTATGTTTTCAAGAACCATTTATAAGATCTGCACCATTTAAAGCTTTTAAAGATACGTTGATAGTAGATAGATACATGGTTCATATAGTCACAAACTTCTTTTTTTTCTGATCTTCATAAAATATAGGAGATATTTACATGTAAATATATAATTCCAAAGATATGCATAGTGAAATGATAAAAATTTTAATAGTTCTAATGGCTGCATATAGTAAGTAATCATATACATAAGAGCTAGCAATATGTAATCTTAAATTGGGAAACAAATGTGTATCAATAATTGATCACAGGACAGTTTTAAAACTGAGAAATACAATATTGACATCCCCCTGTTTAGTTGTGTACTGCAGAAAAATGTTTACTCTCAAGTGGCACAGATTGAGCACTTGATAGCAATAGATACACCTTAAAAGCGTTTATGATTCATAATGTCAGAGATCTTTAAAAGCAATATTTTAGGACAGGACTAAAAAGAAAAATAATAAAGGACTGACCTAATCTTGAGCATTAAGACTTCACAGCTGAATTAAAAATATTTTGGCTTTCCTATGTGTAACTATGTCCAGTTATGAGGATATCAAAACCTCTTTTGAGTTGTTTCATTAATTCATGAAACAGACCAAATAAAGCTTATTCTGTTATATAATCATGCTTCATGCCATTATTGATGAAGAATAGATGAGCCATTCTTACCTGTTGCTCAGAAACACCAGAGAATTGAGCCACTGAGAAGAAATCAAGCTCTCTACAAGGTTTACCACGGAGAGTGTAAATTTCACATTATGTGGCAAATGGAAAAATTGTGATCTGGGAGTGATGAAGTGAGGGATAAAATTACAAGTTTTCAACATGCACAAAATCAGAAAGTATAAAACTTTTCCAGATTATGTAAAAAATGTTCAAGGTAAAGTTCCTGTTGTATTGACACCTGCTTCTCCTTTTAATACGTACTTGGGAAAATATGGGAAATTAAAATACTGTATTGTTATACTATATTAATGCTCCCTTATGAAACATTAATAGGACAATGAACTAGTATAATAATCCTTGATTTTTTTTGCTAAGGTGAAAGAATAATAGGTGTAATTATACACCTTAAATATACAATTTTATTACTTTCAAATATATACAAAAACCAGAAATACTCTAATGCAGTGGTTCTCAACCTTCCTAATGCCGTAACCCTTTAATACAGTTCCTCATGTTGTGGTGACCCCCAACCATAAAATTATTTTCGTTGCTACTTCATAACTGTAATTTTGCTACTGTTATGAATCGTAATGTAAATATCTGATATGCAGGATGTATTTTCATTGTTACAAATTGAACATATAAAGCATAGTGATTAATCACAAAAACAATATGTAATTATATATGTGTTTTCTGATGGTCTTAGGCGACCCCTGTGAAAGGGTCGTTCGACCCACAAAGGGGTCGCGACCCACAGGTTGAGAACCGCTGCTCTAACGATTACTAATGACAAAGAAATATATATATATATAAAAAACAATCTAAGTTAGACAAACCACTTTTCCTCAGAGTTCAATATGATTTGTAAATAAATCTTAAAACATTTTTGAAGTATTCACTTGCTGAGTAACGTTTTCCTTTCATTCTCTTTTATACTATGGCAAATGATTCCACTGTTATTCTTGGAAATGTTAATAGTTATATTGAGAGGCCCAAATGATTTCATGTTGAAATACATTTTAGAAATAGTGAGTTAAACAAAGGTAAGCCTTTTTTTTTTAAAGTAAATTTTGAGGACTTATCAAGTCTTTAACATTCATTATGACTGGGTTGGGGTAAGGGATGATGAGGATATAACATGCAGTGTTTCCCAACCTTATTTCATATAGAATTTTTCTCTCCAGGTAATCATATCTATAATAATCAAAGTGTAATATGCTAATTAGACTGGACAGCCAGATGTCCTTCCAGACGAAGCCGGAGCTGCGAGGGCCAAGTCCTTTGCACGAATTTCGTGCATCGGGCCCCTAGTTGAAATATAAAATGCTGCTCTCTTTGTTTAATCTGCACTCTACTTACCTTATATCTCCCAGCTCCCCTTTGTCTTAATAAAGGTTGAAAGTTTGGTAAGCTGTATCATTATCACTTTCTGATCAGATTCTGAATTATTAAGATTTAGATGCATAAAAGAACATTTTTGATCTTGTAAACATTGAAGAAACAATACTGTAACTAGAACCGAAATGCTTTAGTCTACCTAATAGTAAATCTTGTTTTCTAATTTTGAGATATGTGTTAAAATCTGGGAAAACAAAAAAATAACTGAAGTAATTGAACTGAGCATAATGTTGCAGTTTTGATATAAGCTTTTCTATTTATAACTGCCTAATTTAACCAGAGTACATTTTCTGTCCTAGCCTGAATTTATGGCATTTTAAAAATTCAGCTGCATAAGCATGAAGACACATGCCATTTACTAGTATAAGAATAACTGCCCCATATGAAATTGATTTTTGCCTTCTGCAATATAATAATCCCAATAGCTATACTGAGTACCTACCGTATTCTATGTCATCCTCACATCACCTTAGATCGTCATCATGATTGCTATTTCACAGATGAGGAATGTGATGACCAGAGAGATATTAGCTGTCTTGCTCTAAGCCATACAACTAGAGAGAGACAGAAACAGATTTCAAACTTCAGTCTGACACCAAAGACCCTACTGTTTCCATTACATCATGCTGTATGGAATTATCCACATCCTATATAATAAAAGCATAGTATGCAACCGACCTGGAGTTTTTCCCAGAGTTTGGCCAGGGGGCGGGGCCGGCCTGGGAAAGGGAGGGAGTACCCGGCTGGCCACAGCCAGCTGCTAGGGACCCGACCAGTGCACAAAGTTCGTGCAGTGGGCCTCTAGTGTAATATAAGTGTTTCTCCATCTTGTAAGCATCAGTAGCTCAGATATTATCCTTTATGTAGAATTTCTGCAATGTGGATGTACAGTTGGTCTACAATACAGCACCCGTTTGGAAAAACACTTTGAAGAAGCAAACAGCTAGACTCTCCTGTGTGATAGGGCATTCATTATTGAATAAATAAAACACCTTGGGCATTTTTTAAAATCTCAAAGTTGAGAATATAATGATAACCCCAGCTCTTTCAAGGATTTCCCTCTCATTATTTCTGTACTTAACATTTTGCATTAAAAATCAGCATGTAGAAGAAAACAGAGGATTGTGCTATTGTAAACTCAACAACTGTTGTTACCCGCTGACAATTTTTCTTCCTTTATTAACTCTGGTGGTTTAGTTTTTGAATGTAAATTATGGTTCATTATTGCTTTTCTCAAGAATTCTTTATTGTCTAAAAGTGTGTTTAAACAACAATAAAACTAAGTAAAAGACAACAGGTCTTAGAGAAACAACATAAAGCAAGTATCTTATCCATTCCACCGTCCATTCTGAAGGACATGAAGTATAGAAAACTTACTTCAAAAGAACTCACTGCTCCTTGTGGGACTGGCACTGTACTAAAAGTGTAAGAGGTATAGGAAGACTACTGAGAAATGCTCTTTATTCTCTCACAGTTTACAATTTGGCTGGAAAGTCAAACATACCCTCAGAGGCCAGTCATATTATTTACTGTACAATTTAGTCCCCACGTAAAGGATGTAGACATTATTCAGTTGCATATCAGAAAATTATGGGAGATGTGACCGGGAGCGGTGGAAAGATACAGTGAAGGAAAAGTTCTGGCTCCACCAGATCTTGAAGATCATGAAGGTATTGTACAGAAAGACCAGGAATAAACTGAGAAGCAAGGATATAGAGTCAGCAACAGTCTGTGGAGATGATGGAATGGAAGCTGGGAGAAGTCGGGTAAGGTGGTGTCCACTAGGGCCCTGAATGACACTGAAGGCAGTGTACTTCATGGTCTTTTGACCAGAACCTTGGGTGCCTCCTCCCTCATTCTCTCTCCTTACCTTTCCTACAGGCAGCTAGACTCTGGCCTATTTTCGAGGGCCTTTAAACTGCTAGCTGCTTTTTGCCATAGGACTCTTGAAGGCGGAAACGTCTTTAAAATTCAAAGAAAAGAGTAATAGTGAAGTTTCTAATGAGTAAGAGAAAATAAAAGTATCACTGTTCTAGTTCCCTGAATATTTCGTGGAATACGTAAGGCCCAGATGATAGCAGGATGGTACTGGAAAGTTAGTATGGACTTTGGATGTGATTTTATAGAGACTGTACTGGCAAACCATTAGAAAGAAGTTTGTGCCTGATTTTGAATGGGATTTTATAGTCTTCCTCACGAGATTTTTAAAAACAACAAAAGGGTTTGCCCAAACTCATTTGGAAATTAGTTCCGAACCTTGACATCATTGGTTTCCTGTAGCATCTTGCTGCACCGACATCCCAGCACATTCCCCGGCTAGTCCATGCCCTATTTTTCTTTCCCTCTCCATGTCCAACCTCAGTGTGGAATTTCCAGCTTAAATGTTCTTTGTCAACCACCTGCATCCCTCACACAACCTTCACCAACAACTCTCTTAAGCATGCATGCGGCCCTGCACGCAGCGTGGTCTTTTCCCGCTTGGACACGCGGACGAGACGAGGACCTTTCATCTTTTTGCAGAGTCGCTGGGACACAGTTCTTGGGTCTCCCCGGGGAACTTGCTGCGGGCCGAGCGGACGCTTGTTTGACGCGGTGAGCAGTCCTCTGAGCCAGACCTGGTTGCCGCCTTTTCCTGCTCTGAGTGGAGACAAAGTTGCGGGGAAGAAAACACTAACTAACAAACGAGCAAACCCACCTCGCCCACTCGGCGGGGAGCGTACTCAGCCATGGGTAACCGCCCGCCCCCACCCCCAGCCCCCCCGACCCTTAAAGGGGGAGGGGGACCGACGAGGAACGGGAGCGCTGAAAACTAATAATCTCCCCATACAAGTAGAGGTGAATGCGAGTAACGCATATGGAAGGCCCTAGGCC